ACATACAAGGAGGAAGCAGCCAGCGGCTGCAGTCCCAAAGGTGAATGAAGCTGATACTATTCGTAGGAGGTGGTGTTGAGGTTGTTGCTGTTGTCGGTGTTTTGTGTATTTTGGGTGTTATGTAGATGAAATAACTATAAAATATACTTTTATTAAATTTTTATTTATTTTATTTTCATTGGCTTTTGTATTCCAGCTGTGCTGGGTACGCCAAAGGAACTTTTCCTGTTTTCACTTCCGCCGTGCCGTCTGTCGTCCCTGATCCTTCAAGGTTATTTTAGCGTATTCGTTAGTGCAAATAGTATTTAAAGCAGTTTAAAGTATTGTTTATTTTATAAAGATAATATTTTGGAGGATAAGGAGAATTATTATGCAGGCGGAGCAGTTGCTGCAGCCGTTCTTGGGGCATCATCACCTCTACCCATTACGAGACCGAGGCAAGCCCGGCGGTCGTTGAGCCTCCCTTTCTTATGTTGTGTCTGTTGTTGATTCTTCCTCTGAAGCCTCTAAATACTGAAATTTCCTATATAAATAAAGAATAATATATTTATTTTATTTCTTTAAAGGATTCTTTCGGCCTGCGCTATAGCTTTCTCCGCTTCTCGGCGCCGCGGACCGCCTCCTGAGCCAGAACGTGACTGTCGGATATCGAGAAACCCAGGGGTTCTGTATAGGCCCAGTGGAGCTTCCCTTTTAATTATTTCTTTTTTATAAAGAGAATTCTTCTCAGTTTCTTCTGTTTGCTTTCTTTCCAGCTACAAGCCTCGTATTTCACTTCTTTCACGGCAGTTCAATATGCTGCGGCAGCACACAGCAGACCCGGCGGAGGCCGAGAAAACTCCATTGAGATCCGGTGACCCCATAGAATCACAAGAAAGCAATATACAGGTTTCAGCTTCTCCTGTATCTGTTCAGGGGTTAGCGGGTGGTGTCAAGGAGAAGCTGAAAACTTTTGAAAGCAAGCAATCGTCTGTCGCCTTCATACCCGTATTTCAACAACAGGCAGACCCTGCTGCTCCTACTGCTGCTGCTGCTATTGCTTCTGTTTTTGTTTTTTTTGCTCTTGTTTCTGCTGCCGCTGCTGTCACCTCGACCCCCAAACCTCTGTGAAGATGCTAAGCGAGTTGGCTCTCAGTCTAACCTAGCCGCTTATTTCAGCATTTCGGGCGTCTGCGTTGCAGAGACAGCACCACACAGGCACCC